TTTTAACATAACGCTTGCGTTGGCTATGTTGAAAGAACTGTAATTAGATCTTAGCAGTATGAATAAATAACAACTTGTTTGGTTGAGCACTTGCGACTGAATGAAATCTGTTTTATTCAATATTCTTAACGGTACGCAGTTAGAGTCATACTTTTGTATGTGTGTGGTTTATGCCATATCAACATCCTCTCTTGATTGAAATTTTTTTAATAAGACAAAAAATTACGATCACAATAAACACTGTTATCTAAATGCGTTTACATAGAGAAAGTTGAGTACACTTGAATTGTTGTTACGCCTGTGGTGGTTGTTGCGGTTGCAATCTCTGACAGTTTCCACAACTATTCCGCATCCTGGTCATACGTCTGCGAAAGCTGCGATATACGAAAATCAGGATCTCCGTGATTTTTAAAATGACCAATACCAAAGTTCCAATTGTCACCACATCTGAGTTATTTGACAAATTCACTATGTGTTGTCCACCGACATCCATTGACTGACTGTTGTCGTTTTTTGATTCGCTGCCGCCCATTTCGTCGCTTTAATGGTTTTATGTTGTCTCGGTGAATTTCAGAACTTAACTGTGAGCTCCCACTTTAATTTTGCGCTTATATACTACTACAAAAATTTTGATTCAACATTTTTGAATAATTTCATGACCAAACATTTTACATTTTCCGCGTGACATAGAAAGTGCTTCGCATGTTTCAAATTTGCTTAGTATACTACCGTTGTTGTTTTTTTGTGTCTGTTCAAATGAAATAATAAAAAAATAAGAAATGCATTAGTAAGTATATCAAAAGAATTGCAAAAAAAATTAAGGTGAGTGTGCTTATTCTGTTTCACTTAATCCCATTCCGGTCGAACAAAATTTCGTCTTATCACCCGTAACTGCCTTTGTTAGAGCATCAGCCGTCTGAAGGTTAGTTGAAATATGCTCGAGGCGAATGACCCCCTGTTGAATTTGTTGGCGTATATGATGGTATCTGATGTCTATGTGTTTGGTTCGCGGCCTATACGCCTCCAGCTCGCCCAGTTGAATGGCACTGTTATTTTCACAATAGATTGTGACTGGTTCTTGTTTCTCACCAATCTCTCCAGCCAATTGAGTTGTCCAGATTATTTCACGTGTCACAGCAGACAGTGAAATATACTCGGCTTCTGTACTCGATAATGCCACGATTGGCTGCATTTTACTGGACCATGATATTGCCGCGCCAGACATCATTAACACGTATCCCGTACGCGATTTTCTTCCATCCGTTTCTGATCCCCAATCCGCATCACAAAATGCGTGGAGCATTTGATTTTCGCCACTGCGATGAAATCTTAATTTGTAGTCAGCCGTTCCTTTTATATAACGTAAAATTCTTTTCACACCCGTCCAATGTGCTTCCGCGTGCTTTACGTTAAATCGGCTCATGTCGCTGGTCGAGAATGATAAATCTGGTCTGGTAGCATTTGCCAAGTATAAAAGTGAACCAATTACCTCTTGATATGGTACTTGCCCAGTGATTTCGTTTTCATCCGTAATCATTTACTGATTCAACTTCTGGTTCAATTCACTTGGTGATTTCGGAATCCTCTCAGAAGAACGAGAATCTGAATACCAAAGTAACACTGGAGGTGAACCGAAACAGCTGCCGGTAGACACACGACGGCAAATTGTCCGAGCTCTTGTTGATTTTATGGTTATGCGTTTTGGAACTAAACCATCGAAATATGAAAAGATTGCCACAGCAAAAGCAGCTATTATGGTGTTTCCCCGACTAATTTTCAAAGAGAGCAAAATTGGTGAAATTGTAATTATAAATTTGAGTTTAAATTCGTTAGTTAGGTTTTGAAATAGTTGATTTTCCAGGATTTGCTCGTGAAGGGTGATTCAGGATGGCTGAACATACGTTTGAAAACGGTCCGAGAAAATATGAAGCAATTGAATTTAAATGCTGCGAATGATTCATTGAACAGAAGTATACTCAATCAGAGTATGGCAAGTAGGGATGTAATTGATGATACCGTTGCGGCCAGTGATATCTTGTTTCTGAAGTCATTGCTGGTTTCTGATGAGAATATGGATACATTTTGGGAAAAGCTGAATTCCACACGAAGCTATAGACAGAAGATGTTGCTAGATAAGAACATACATTTGAAAGAGCAATTTCCGTACTTTTTCACACATCCTGATATGGTACAAAAAAAACCGTTTATATTATGTGAACAAGCTTGAAAATTTAAAAAAAAATCTTTTCACAGATTTTGAACGAGTTTAAGCTGGCGAACGATCAAATAAATGCTTCCGCTCTATTGGATAAGTGGCCAAGATTATCTTCTAAACTTCGAAGCATCTTGATGAACCACTACAAAGTGAACAACTTTCAAACGGATTGGTCGTCTGATATCGAAGAATTCTTGGTTTTGCTCAAAATGTTTCCAAGTCGACAGATCGGCCGTAATGTGATTGCAACGAATACCACACTCAAGAAGTCGATTGAACAACTAATTCATTTTGAACCAGTAATTTTTTTACAATCCGAATCCTACATTTCAAATTTGCTAATATATTTTGTTCACTTTTCAGCTCAATGCAGCACCCGCAAATACAAAGAAAGGCTATCCACAAATCGTCGTATGTGGTGAATCACAAAAGTACATTCGGCTTGAAAATGTTGTGTTTCCTGTAAGTTGGACTGTAGCTGCGGTTGCTATAACTTTGAAAAAAATCCCATTAATTGTTTCAAAATCATAAATGCAAAACTAGCAATTTCTTCTTTGTTCAGCATGCCATTTTTTCTATGCCGGAGGTTGGAGTCCATCCAACTGCAAGAATGGATGAAATTTTGAACATGTTGAAATGAAATTTCTCTTTTCATCATTTGTGATTGATTTCGTTGCGAACCAAAAGACTTACAATCTGAAGATTGATCTCATTTTTATGAAAAAAAAGTTCAAGGATATAAATATTTCTAGCTTTCATGACTGATTTCGTTCGTTTTGACGTTTATTTCTGAATAAAGTCTCGCCATTCTCTTTGTTGTTACGTATTTGACTATTGGGCATATAATTTATTTTTCAGGCTTAAATAAAATAATTCAATTTATATTTGATAAAACACGTTTGAATTTTTTATTAAATGTGAATAAATCACATTGCCTTACACACATCTAAGGTTTCAGCAAAAATAAAGTATTTTTCTTCAATGAACTTGATATCGTAAGGTTTTTTAATGCTTAATTCTCCAAATGGAATGAGTTTTTGGATCAATGGTACACTTTTTCTGAATATCAAACTATTAGTGAATGAGTCAAATTGTTCAAATTCAAAACTATCACATGAAAGAAAATATTTATCGTTTAACACTAGAATTCGATTGATTTCATGGAATTTGTCTTCAAACAAAACGGCCATGTCTGTTCTAAAGGTGAAATAATTGCAGTCAAACCACTCGATTCCACACATAATTTCATTATCGTCTAACGTCCCAGTGGCTGCATCTTTTTCGATTTCATTCAGTTGTGAAAATGGAATTTGTGATATTTTTCCACAGTCAATTTCATCACAATACGTAAATCCTTTATATACGAGTTCAGCTTGATGCCTAACCGAAATGGTTTTGGTGATATTTATGAAATTATTCCCACGTTTTGCGAAATTCTTCAAACTTTTGTGCTTTGCTTCGAATCTTATCATGTTCATGTGGCATATGGGACCCATCTCACGAATTATTTCCGGATAGTGTGTCAGCAGGTGATGTTTTGGAATAAGCCGTAGTCCAAGAACATCCAAAATGCTTTGTAAATGAGTTGATATATCCAGTTGGAGCTGTTTTACGTGTGCGTCACTAATTTCAGATGAATAACAGACCTGGACCACTCTTTGAAGCGATTCAACACAAATCCAAAGACTTTTGACAGTCTCATTTTGCTGAAGATCACGAAAAATGAACCCAATGTGGCGGAAAATTTTCATCAATGTAGCTGCATTTTGATTGAGATTATCCTTTTTCAGCAAAACAGTTGAAAGTGGATTTTTGCTAAAACGGCCGAAATCGTAAAACTGAATTTTCTGGCGCAGTTCCTCTTCACTTAGAATTTTTCTCGAAATCAAATGTTGAAACAAATGTTTCAATAAAAACGGAATGCAACCTTCATTTAAATCGTGCATGATATCTACGGATTTGTTTTTCATTATGTGAAAGTGATTCAACTTATTCAATGAACAGCTTCTCTTCACACCTTTTGTTTCCGAAAATATCACTTTTTCAGAGTCTTCCACGATTGCCAAGTGAGATTCATAGTTTTCAATTGTCCGAAGCAATGATGGGTCTTCTTTGATCCTAGTTTCTGTTTGCTTTTTTGATGCAATGCAAAAACGACAGAAATGCGAATTAAAACTTTCAACGAAACCATACGCTGTGTTGCCACCCAAATTATCGAAACCTCCATATATCATAGTCCCTTTAATGATGGTATTTGTATCAATTCGAATACCAGTTTTTTCAAGATGAAGCACTTCACGTACAATGTGCTCCCAAAGATCGTTAAAATCGGTCTCTTTTGTTTTAATATCATCTGTTCTGCATAGCGATACCAAATATATGTTGGATAATTTTGATAAATATTTGCTTGGCACATTTTTTATCGTAAAATAGATTGGACACATTTTGTGTATACCAGCTTTAGATCCAAGAGCATCGTTTGGTTCGGTGGCAAATCATCGGTCGCAAATCGAAGTTGTAGTGCATGTGGCTGGAAAGAATAGAATTGCGACTCCTTATACAAACTCCCGCAGCAAAAAGACTTGTAAACACCTTCAACACAACAGTGACGATTCTCATTCATATTGTATTCAAAGTACATTTCTCTGAATTCTTTTTGTTTAAAAAGGGACTGAATAGTCTGCACAATAGAAATGTAGTGGAATTTTGATTGCAATAACCGCGGAACTGTGATGTTATTATATTTAGATTTAGCCATCTCCCAGTGCGTTCCTATCGCCATTTCATACGGAGCCACATAGTGCACATTCTTCGTTAACTTTTTATGTCGTTTGTATGACGAACGGTCTTCTGAAAACTTAATGCGCACAAAATGTAAGGATGTTTGCAAAACGAAGTCAGCCTCAGAACGATGTTCGACCAATAAATTACGACATAGTTGAGTGAACTCTTCAATTAAACGAATACTCAAACTGAAAATCTGATCAGTTTTTTCAATCGTCATAAACATCGCATTTATCTTGTTCGAATAGTCTTCAATAAATTGAGAAATTTGTTCAGTTGGCGATTTTATTTCATAATCCTAATGAAATTTAAATTCGAAAAAATAAGGTCCAACAATTTGATGTCATTTTATTCAATTTTACCTCTTCACTCTTCTTCTTAGCTTTGTTCTGAACGACACATTTTTTGACGTGGACTCTCAAACTATCGAGAGTTTGATAAGTTTTATTGCAATTAGGAACCAAGCAAGAAATTTCCGTCGCATTACTTTTAATTGAATGTAATTTTACATGTTCAATCGCCGAAGTTAAATCAGAGAATTTTCTCTGACAATTAGGAATATAGCACATTAGATCCATATTTGCTGTATTTAAATCGTTTTGTTTACGTTTTTAGCGTACAATAAAAGAAATGTCATAAACAGAAGAATGACACCTCGCCGCAAAAACCGCTTCTATGTGATCTACTATACGAAATTTCGTATGGGCGCCTCCACTCTTCCGAAAAACGTATAGGGATATACGTAGAATTTAAACCGTGTACTGAATGTGGAGCACTGCTGCTCAACTTAAATGTCGGTTTGAAACGCAATAGATAATATTGATAGCATTACAAACCGCAGAACGAAATCGGATTCGGTTCTTTATATGCAAAGTGTTTTTTTTTTATCTCAATGAAAACGCAGAATCCAGTTTTTTTTTTGCATGACTGATAAAAAATGTTTGGCAGAGCTTCTTTTTAATGCGCATTTAAACTACAGAGTGGGGCAAAGAAATCGAACCCATTTATTTTTTGAATGAATATTTCGAGGTTTCCAGACACGAAAGATGTATTTCGTTCCTTGGGAATATAATAAATATTGGATTTAATGATTATTTTGATAATTTATATCAAACACAAGATTCGGTTTTATTTTTGCATAGTTGTTTTGATGCGGAGTGCCATTTTTAAAAATAAGATCTCAACAAATAAAATCTATTTGGAATCAAGTGTTTTTACGCCGGTTTTTTGTCAAATTTCGATAGTATTAAATTCTTAAAATTTTCTTCCTTTCTGGCTTTCTGGCCTTTAATGGATCCGTCAGCAACACCAAGAATTCGCTCCGCTCTATCGTTGATGACTGTTATTGTGCTATCGATTATATTTTTATCTCTTTGTATGATTCGATGTATCCCCATAACGATGCATCTTGTTGTAGGAAGTCTGGCGCAACATCCAAAAGTTGAAATAAAAAGTACGACCTTGAGCCAATGAAATAATCCAAATCAAAGCTGGTGAAATCGATAGGTGGTTCCAATATGAATCTCAGTGAATCTGTA